TTGTCCCAGGCCCTTTTTCCTCCCCCTACACCCTACCTCCTGTCTGCATGAGGCAAGCAGCCATGATGCTCTGCCTCACCACAGCCCCCATTGAAGCCATGGTCTGAACTCTCTGAGAACTTGAGCCAAAATCAACCCTTTCTCCTTTAGGCTGACTTTCTCAGGTGTTTTTGTCACAGCAACGGAAAGTTAATTAACACAATGTGTATACTGCAAACCCCCAGAAAACCTGATTTACAGGTGGAGAAAAACTGGTAGATTTCTTTTTCTTTTTTTCTTTTTTTTTTTTTTTTTTTTGGTACCGGGGATCCAACTCACAATCTCGAGCTTGCCAGGCAGGTGCTTATGCCGCTGAGCTAAATCCCCAGGCTTAACTGGTAGATTTCTAATGAAGGGTTTTTTTTTTTCTACAGGGCTTAAAATTCATTATTGTGGGGCTGGGGATTTAGCTCAGCAGCATGAATGCCTGCCTGTCAAGCGTGCAATCGTGAGTTCGATCCCTGGTACCGATAAAAAAAAAAAAGCATTATTGTAAGTGTTAAAAACTTTTATCATTTTACACTATCTCCAGAAAGACCACAATTTGGTGGGAAAGCTCCAGAACTGTGTTTCTCCAGTGAATAAAGAATATTTTACACCCTAAATCTCCACCATAGAGTAATGTGACCTTCAGGGGCCAGAGGGGAAAGATCCACTGACCCAGACCCAAGCTCTAAGTGTACTACTCAGCTGGCCAGGGAAGCACTCTGGGGCCTGGGTGTCATACTGGTCTGAGCAGCAGCCAGCTGCCTTCCCTGCCAGAGGCGTTATTACTGTGACTTGCCTACTCTTATTAGAAGCCAAGAAACACCCCCAGGCTCCTGCCCATGGCTCCTCCCAGCTGAACTCAGGTAGTGTCCTGGTCCTATTACAAACACTCCACTCCTTCCTAATGGGCAAGACAAGATCCCCAGAAATAAGATTTCTGTGAGTTTTAGGGCCCTCCTGTACCCTTTGTGTGTTGGGACCTGAGATTCATTTCAGGAGTTCTTGAAAGCAAAAGGACACTGTACTCAGTAAAATGCACCCACACACTAAAGTAGGCACAGGATCTCAGAGAATTTACAAGCCACCTCCAAAGCCTGGACCCTACAACAACTGCAGAAGAAGAAAGCCAAAATAACCCACAGTCATGCCCAGAGACTCTATTCTTGTTGACACCTGGATGCACAGCAAGCAGATGATTATTGGCATCACCTTTGACAACCAACATCAGGGGAGAGGGCAATATGATACGGGAAGTGTGATTCCAAAATATTTCTATTGGAGTTCTCACCCTAGTGCCTCAGCATTTGGCCTCTTCAGACAGGGTTGTTACAAAGGTGATCATGATTATAATGAGAACCTAAGGATGCTGGACACAGAGACAGGAAGACACCATGTGAAGAGAAAGGCAGAGATCCGGTGGTGCACTGCATCCACAAGCCAACACTCACCGAAGATTGCCAGAAATCACCAATGGCAGGGGAGAGGCCTGGAACAGACCCAGTGTGGCCCCCAAGAAGAAGCCAGCCCTGTAGATGTCTAGATCTCAGCTCAGAGTCTCTAAACTTTGGAGGTAAATTTCTGTCCTTTATGCTGCCCAGTCCCTGGCAGTCTGCTAAGGCAGCTAGCAAAACTAGAAAGCCTGGGCCACCATCCTCACAAAAGAAGAACTCACATGAATTCGTTGCTGCTAAATGTGCATCCTGTATCCAAAAATACAAATTCCAAAACATGTCTGGTTTGAAGCGTTTCAGATAAGGACACTCATTCTCTAGTAGGAAAATCCTCAGTGCAGAAACAGGGCTGGAACAAGTTCCCTTGGCCACCTTTCTATGGACGTGCCACCTAATCTCTCCTGGACCTCAGTCCCCACCTGTCAGATGCACAAAGAAGTCACTTCCCAGCAAGAGAGGAAGTCAGGCCAGGGATTTAGCTCAGCAGCATAAGCGTCTGCCTTGCAAGCACGCAGTCATGAGTTCGATCCTCCATCCAAAAAAAAAAAAGAGGAAGTTAGCTTCGCCCAGCTCCCGCCAATTGGGATTCCACAGCCAGCTGCACCCTTGCCAGCAGGGTCCCAGGCATATGCTGCAAGCCTCTTCCCTTACCTACATCTGTCCACCAGCAAAACCTGGACATTGCCTCAGAACAAAAGCCAACCCACCCAGGTCACCCATCTCTACCCTGCCAGGAACAACCTGTAACCTCGGCCTTGACACCTGCCACACCTGCATCTAGGCTCCTGTGTCTCCTAGCTTGGATGCCGCTCTCTGGGTGTGTGTGCACAGTAGTCCCCAGAGCCAGGTCCCTATGAGCTGTGTCCTTCTGGCTCCTCTTTATAAACCAGGCTTTACCCCAACCTCCAATTCTTGTCAAGTCTTGCCACCCACACGAGGGGTGTCTAGATACTCAAGATGTCTGGATAACTCCTTGTCACAGAGGGCTCTGGTCCCACCCAGGATGTTTAGCAGTACCTCAACCACTAGGTGACAACCAGGTGGCAAACACACCCCCAGTATAGCAACTGGAATTCTCCACTATTGAGAGCCACAGTCCTACTTCTGCCTGCACTGCCACCCTGGTTTGGGTTGGACCGGACTTGCCTCAGGACTCCCCTGGGCTCATTGTGCCTCTGAGATCAGTGCATCGCTTGGGACCATGAGTGAACAGCCAGCTGAAGTGACTGCAGCGCCAACGAAGATGTGATGTGAGATGGGACAGGACACACAGTCATCTGCCCCCCTGGGCAGCTGCTTGACTGCCCCTCTTCCCCCAGGCAGGGAACAGAAGTGCCACCCTCCCCACTCCTGGGTTTTCTCCTTTTGAGCCTGGGATTGGGACAAAACAGGGGACAACCAACAAACGTGGGTCCAGGGCACATGACCATCCTCATCTATTAACTGTAGGGGGGAAAAGGAGCTTTTGAAATTAAGATAATCAAAACTGCCCAGGTGTATAGCTTCACAGCCATTCTCTCTGCTGATGGAAGTGTGAATTGATCAAAATGCTGAAAAACTTGTGAGTACCCCCAAGACTGCTCTGGCCCAGAAATCCCAGTGCTGAAAGACCATTGTAAGCAGTATCAAATACAGGGGAAAAGATGAATCTAAGGACAAATACATCAGTACGGCTTAATTTTTAATACTAAAAAAATCCTAGAAGCCAAGACTACGGTGCATCCTATAATCTCATCACTTGGGTGGCTGAGTCTGGAGGACTCCAAGTTCAAACCCATCTTGGGCAATTTATCGACTTACCAAGACCCTTTCTCAAAGCAAAAAATAAAAAAGCAGCGTGATGACAAATGTCTGTAACCCAGCACTCGGGAGAAGTGCCTTGAGTTCAAGGCCAGCCTGTGCTACATAGCAAGACCCTGTCTCAAAATGAATAAAATTAAAAAATAAAATCCTGGAGATGTAACTTAGTTTGAAGGCCTTGGGTTCAATTCCCATTACAGGGTGGAAGTGGGGAACATAGAAACAATTCAATTATCTAATCATGAGGGAAAGGTTGAAAGTGTTATCTCCTCCACAAAACACTATGTAGTCACTGAAAGCGAGGTTTTTGGAGAACTCAAATGGAAAAATATAAAACATAAAATTGCATCTGCAACATGACTGTGATGACTAAAAACACTGCTTTTTTAAAAGCACAGTACTTGAGGGCGAAAGAGGTAGGTGGGATGCAGATTTTTTTTTTTTTTTTTTTTTTTTGTCTTTTTCCTTTTCATCGGTACCAGGGATTGAACTCACGATGCAGATTTTTATTTTGTCTTTCTACTTCTGAAGTTCTCAAAATTTTTGCAACAAATGGATTAGTTTAGAATGTTTTTTTGCCAGGCATGGTGGTGGGCGTGTATAATCTCAGCACTTGGGAGGCTGAGGCAGGAGGATCGCCGTGAGTTTGAGGCCAGCCTGGGATACATAAGGGAGCTCAAGGCTAACCTGTACTACATAATGAGACTCTGTCTCATAAATAAATAAACAATAAAATAAAATATTTTTTGATGGATTGTCTTAACAATTTGTAAAAACAAATTCAACCCTTTGCTTTAGGGTTATGTGATCACAGGACCCAGAACAAAGTGTAATCGATAATGGATTTGGACCTCTGGCTCACCAATGCTTAAAAGCAGACCTTAGCATGACAGGGCTCCCCATGTCCCCAGATGGTCCCCATGAGAGACTGGAACAAAGGATAGTACACACCTATAATCCTAGCACTCTGGGATGCTAAGGCAGAGTTTGTGAGTTTGAGCCCAGTCCAACTTAGTAACTTAGCCAGACCCTATGTTCTATTCCCAGTACTGAAAGGAAAAAAAAAAAAAAAAGATCAAGTGTCAGAGCCCCAAGTGGAGAAGGAGCTAGAATAAGAGCTAAGGAGCCTGCAGCGGGGAGGGGTGATAGAGCCATGGGGGCTCCTGTCCAACCTCCTGCCCCTGGCACTGCTATAGGAAGAACTCAGGAGCAGAAACCAAGGAGAGGAGAGGGAAGCATGAGTCACAGGGTCTCTGCTCAAAGAGAAGAGCTGAGCAGTACGCTCCTCACCAAACACATCTGGAGCCTGACCTATGGCCCCAGGTCACCTGAGTGGTCACCTGGGTAGCTGCTTCTTTACCCCAAGTCCAGTGGCATCTATAACAGAATCTAGTTCCTACTTCTGTCCCCCAAGCTGAAAACATCAGTGAGTCCCATGTGCTACTTAAAATCCTGTCCATTTTCCACAATGGCTCTAGACACCCTGAGCTTTCTGGATGCAGAAGTGAGGCCTGTGGTCAGAAAGCCACAGAATGAACCTGACACCAAACAAGAGAGCCAGATTCAAACCTGCCTGGCTCCTTTACTTCTGGGAGATCCCCACACGCCATTCTCCTGGTGTTCATCCTTCTCTCCAGAAGGACAGCAGGAGGGAAGGGCTTGCTGCCCTGGTCCTGGGCCACCTGCAGCAGGGCACAAGGTGGGGGTAGGGGAGGCACTGACCTTTTCCAGCTTCTCAAAGTGCTCCCGGAGGAACTTCATGGGGCGGTCAGGCTTGGAGACACAGAGGTGAACAATGCAGTCTTTGAGCACCTGCTGGATGCTGTGTTTCTGGACATACAGCTCACATCCCTTCAGGCTGTCCTCCTCTTCTGAGGGGAAGGATGATGGGGAGGCCATGGCCAGGCGTCTTCTTCCTTCCTGCTGAGAAACTGCAAACCACAAGGCCTTAGGAGGGGCTGGGGGAGTCCTCTGGTGTGCTTCACCCATATGCATCGAGCACAAAACAAGGAAGCTTATCACAGAGGGTCAGGCCCAATGGACTGTCATGTATTCAGCATTCATCACAGATCTTTCCGTTTGCAGGCTGGATGACTTGTTTGCTGTATGGCACCAGCCACCAAAGCCTCCATGCCCAGTGGATTCTTTGGAGATGGTAAAGATGCAAATACAATTTAGGGGCGATTAGAAGCCCCTTCTACAACATCTCCAAGGAATCTGCCTGGAAAGAGGCAGAGGGTCTGGCCCCAGCGTTAAATTACTTCACCCTCTCCCCCTCCCCCTCAGGAACACCTGTGTGAAATGTAGACGCCACCATAGGAATACCCAGGGAGAGATCTGGAGATGATGGGGGGTGGGATGCCCGCCAATGGTTGGGGTGGCCTTGGGTGATGGGGATGGGAGGCTGGCCAAGGGTTAGGGTGGCCTGCTTCACAGGAAAAGAAACACAAGGAGGAAAACAGAGGAAGCCCAGCTTGGGGGTGGTGGTGAAGAACAATAGCCGTGTGCGTCCTGCACCCGGGTGAGTCACAGTGACCAAGTCCACGCCCGCCCAGACGCACCCGGGTCTCCAGACCACAGGGAAGGCGCCCCCGGACCCTGTGCCCACCCACCCACCCCCACTTCGGAGCTCAGCCTGGCCTCTGCGCCTGTGGAACCCCCCACCTCCAGACCCAGACTGGGGCCAGGCGGAGGGCGCGCGGGCCTGGCTCCTCCGCGGCAGCCGGGCTCTCTGGCTGGGGGTGGGGGCGGGAGAGAGGAAGAGAACGGGGGCGGGGGACACTGCGGCCTGGGGTCCCCACTGCCCAAGCTTCCCGGTGACCCCAGACCCCGCGCAGACCCCACCCCAGCCCCCGTACCTGGATGCGCAGCGCCAGAGGCCGAAAGCGACTGCGCGGGGACGCGGGGCGCGGGGACGTGGGGACGCGGGGACGCGGCGGCGAGCGGGTCCCCGCACTGCAGCGGCGCCGCCCTCTGCCCGCCCCTACCGCGCGCCGCCCGCTGTGTTCGCCCAGATCCCCCTTATGCCTCTGATCTGGCCTGTGCTCGCCCAACCTATTACCCCTCCTCCGGAGCCCCCTCCCCTAGCCCTCACCACCCAGTCTCCCTCGGTGGGAGCCTAGAGCTGCCCACAGTGCGGGTTCAGCTCACAAGAGCCCAGCCTGGCCAGGGGACCTATTCCCTGCTCTTTGGACATCCCCACACCCTAGAGCGGAAGGGTCACCTTAATAGCTTCCTAACCCACAGGCTCTGGCCTGTCGGGAGGAGACTGGGTCCTCCCACACACCCAAAGCATCCAAACCCCCAGAGGATAGGTGGACAGGACAGGTCTTGAAAAACACTCCACAGTCTTTACTCCCTCGTCAGCATTTACCTGTGCCCCACCTATTCTCCTCACTCACTTGTACATATGGGTCCACAGGTACCTGTCTCCCCTCCCCCTCACCTGTCCACGTTAATTTGTCCCACTCACTTGTTGCCTCACTCACCTGGGCACACACACCCAGGGGTCTTGGTCCAGCCTCTCCCCAACAGTGGAAGGACAAACGGCCCTGGCTCAGGCGTCAAACAAGAAGCTCTGGCGCCCCAGCCTTTGCCCTGTCCATGGATACACCTTTTGGAAGAGGGTCTTTTCAAAGAAATTCTCCTTTTCTCCTGAATCAAAACTCACATCATACTGCAGCTCAATCCCAAGGCCTTCCCTCCCTTCCCCTGCTCACTTCCTGCTCGGTCTGTGGATGGCCTGGTGAGAAGGGTGACATCTGGCTTTGAGGGTGTTCTGGCTTTGGCGATGGAGTGCTCTAGGGCCAGCTTTCCTCCTGTGAGACCCTCTGAGGTTCTCTGGTGGTCTCCTGCAGGGACTGAGGCACCCCTTGTGAGCACAGAGCTCACCTCCTGTGGCCCAGAGGCCCTACACCGTGCCCTCCCTGACCAGGCCTCACTCGGAGGTGGCTTCTACTGAGACCCTGTCTTCACCCCACTGTGATGGCAGCTCTCACCAGCCTCTCACTTAAGACTTTTCCAGGCTACTCAGGTCCCCACGGCTGCCCGCCCCCAGACTTCCTTCTGTGAATGAGCCCACAGACCCAGCTCTGTTTACCTCCAAGACTCTACTTGCTCTCTGCTGTGACTTGAGGAAGGGTAAATATTTCCAAATGTCCCATTCATCGTCTGATCAATCTTCAGGGAGTGTCAGAGACAGAGGAACCAAGACACCGGACCAAAGCCACATCCAAATACCCACTGCTGTCCTTAAATCATCCCATTTAGCCTAATAAATTCTTTTATTGCTAAACTGGTGGGGTTTTGCTGTTTGTTGGTTGCAGCTGAAACATGGAAATGTCAGATGTACATGACCCCCACACATTAAATGTCTGGTGAGCACAGATCAAGCAAGAAAACTAAGTGTATGATCAGCAGCCACTGCCCTTAATTGAGGGTGCCAAGAATGTCCCTCCCTGGGCTGGGTCACGTACCATGTGATCACCTGCAGCAAGCTCCCTCTCTCCTGGGCAGGGACAAATTCTGGCTCTTATGGGTTGTCCAGACAGCTGCATCCTTTTAGGAAAACATGCAGCTGGTATGTTATCTGGTAATCCACTCAAAAGTCCCAGTAATTTATTCATTGAACCCTCAATTATCCATTCAAAAGTCCCAATAAAAGTCCCACGCACCTCCTCTGAGAATGTCCATCCACCCTGGGGAAGATCCACCCTATGTGTTAAGGGGATTATTTAAACATTTCCAGAGATACTTGGATTTCCCAGATCCTAGGGCTTTCACTTCCCCCAAGGTCTGACTCAGGGCCATCAAGTGACCAGATATGCTCCCATTAGAAGAGCTATTGAAGCCAGCCAGGCATGGTGGCACACACTTATAATCCCTCTAGAAATCTGAGGCAGGAAGACTGCAAATTTGAGCCCAGACTGGCCAATTTAGTAACTTAGCAAGAACTTGTTTCTAAATAAATTAGTCCTATTGACTTCTTTCTCTCTTATGTTGAAAACACCAACTAGGCATGGACTGTTGTGTCTTATCTTTTTATAAATTTCCTACTCTGTAAAGTGAGTACAGACACCTGGGGCTGGGGATTTAGCTCAGTGGCATAAGCACCTGACTTGCAAGCAGGCAGTTGTGAGTTCAATCCCTGGTTTTGTAGGTTTAGGATGCAGATTCCAGCGCAGTCTTCCTGGATTATACTGCCTGGTGTGGTAGGCAGACTCCAAGACAGCTGTGGGATCCTGGCCTTTCTCCCCATGATACTGCAGTCTCTGGGGATTCTCTGAGCATAGCAGGGCCCATGACTTGTATCTAACCAATGGGCCGCACAGGTGATAGAAGCACAACGCTTGTGTGTTCTGCAATTAGATTACATAGCATCCTAACGTCCATCTTGCTAGGGACTCTCCTGGCTGGTGTGTGTGTATGTGTGTGTGTTATTCTGGTACTAGGGGTTATCCAGGACCTTTGCATTGAAGTGAGAACAATAGCCGTGTGCGTCCTGCACACCTTTGCATTTCTTTATTTTGAGACAAGTTCTCACTAAATTGCCTAAGTTGGATTTGAACTTGCACTCCCCCTGCACCAGCCTCCTATAGTACAGGGATTACAGGTGAGCACCACCATACCCAGTCCTGGATGGTTTTTAAAATGTTGACTAACAGACTAACACAGGAGCTGATGTGCAGAGAGTAAACAGCAAAAGACTGAGTGTGACCACATCTGATAGCCTGCAGGTAGTGACACTGGAAACAACCCCATGAGCCTGGGGACCACTGTCCCGGAGGGAGCCTCAGGAAAGCCAGCCCTGACACTGATCCCCAACTTTGCAGGACACAGCCAGCTTGACCTGGAGACCCCAGAAACCAGGAGATAATGAGAACATTGCTTCACCGAATCTGTGGTCATTGATGCACAGCGGCAGAGAACTAATTCAAGGAAGAATTTGAAGAAAAGCCCAGTTATAAGTCAGGGTTGGAGCAAGGAAAGAAGTCAGTTGCAGGAGGAAGTGTGTGAATAGTGAGTTTATATGTGAGAATAAAAGAAAAAATTAAAATAGCACAAACTCGGCACATGAGAGAACAAACAGGGAAGCAGAGTTCAGATATAAACACAAATATTTGATAAAGGCGGCACTGTCTATCAGCAAGACAAAGAACTCAATAGTTTGGAAGTAAGTAGGAAGCCAGCTAGGACAATGTAAGTAGAATCCCTGTGTTCCTCCTTTCACAGATAAAATTTAGATGGATCATAGAATTAATTACAAACTTGGAAACTGTGAAAGTCATAGAAGAAAAACTGGAAAGCATATAAAGTCGGAGTGGAGACGGACTTTTGAAGCATAATACAAAATCCAGAAGCCATAAATGTAAAACTTGGTATATTTTACTACAGAAAAAAATGAAAAATTTCTACATAAAATGTAGCCAGGAAGACAGAACAAGACAGAGACGTTTATGAAATGTATCACAAGACGGTTACTTTACGTAGTGTGAAGATACCTCTTTGCTCAAAATAGGAATGCAAATTACACAGAGATACTACTGTTTTACCTATTGCTGAGAAAAAATTCAAACATCGGACCATGTTGTTTTGACAAGGGCACTGGAGAAAATCGTTTATTCAGGTAATAAATAAATGAATATATGTTATTCAGAATATCTCTGAAAGGGCACTACAGAAATCAATGGCAGAGACAGGCTGTCTGAGTAGGAAACTGTGTATCTGAGTGATACCCAGGCTCACTGGTTCCTGGGTCCTTGAGTATGTTTTTAATTTTATACCATATGCAAATATTACCCATTCAAAACCAGTTAACTAATTTCCTCTGTGTTAAAATGTTTAAAAGTCTCTCTCAAAAAATGCAGAATTTAAAACATTCATGATTTTCACTGTTTCCTACAGGTACACTGAAACCACAGTAACATTCTAT